GTAGTAACCAGTCGCTGTCACTGATCGTAGTTACTGCAATACTTCTTTAACGACGAATGCACAATGTCGGTGCAACTTCGTTGTTCAGGAAGAGAAGAGGTTTGAGTTTGAATAAAGATATTAATATATATAACTATAAGTATTTATTGAAAGTAATTTATTAAATATAAAATAACTTCTAATATTATATATTTGAAAGTGTTTCGACTTAGTAATGAAATACTAAACCGGAGAGACTATGTGTGTGGAACGTTTCCCTAGAGGCTCTTGGTAAGCATGGGTGAAACGTTTGTATATGAAATACTCTCTGGAGCTCTCTGCGAAGAGGGCTCCTATTTATATGAGACATGCCGTGATTAGGAGAGGATGATTGACGTCACGGTATGTGCAAAAAATGTGCTAATTTTATCCAAGTAATGAGAAKTCCATGTTTGTGGCCTGTTGAGGTGGCGTGATGTTGTTTTCGCAAGTTGCACTTTGAACCTATGTTTATGACGTAAACCGGTCGGTTTACTACATTGTGATATTATTCTTATCGTGAACAAAATGGTTATAACACATTGATTATAAATTATAATATAGGTATTTATAATCCATGGTTATATAATAATATAATTGCGTTTTGTTGTGTTGAGTGTGTTGTACACTATGACGCCAGACGCATTAAATAAACTAAGCTACATTATTGGTGGATTGCACAATGTACTGATCAAAAAATCATGGCATACGGGCCCAATACACCTATAAGGGCCCGCAATCATACCAGCCCAGCGGGCAATCGCCCCCTCGCCCTTCGGCCCAGTCCGCCCCTGCATAAAATACATATAAAATACCTCTAAAATATCTGTTATGTCCTCTTCGAAGTCAGATTCATCTCCTAAGATTGATTCTTGATCACTTGGTATAGATTCAAATAGTTCAAACAGGTCATCATGTGTAAGCTGGTCAATGTTTATTAATTTATGATCCATCGCAGTGGTATCGTATTGAGACCACCTACATTTTCAATAAATAATATAAAATGAATACATATTCGGCCAAATCGATTATAAAATTAAATAATATACATACTTACAAGTAGAAAAACGCTTAGTTGAAGAAAATCCGTCAACAAATGTATTATTAATTAATAAATCGTTAATTAAAATTCACGACAAAAAAAATAAATAACATTGATAACACAATAACTGAAATTATTATCAGCCAACTAACGTTGGAGGGAAAATTTTTTTGATCGTTGAGAGTGTGACCAACTGCACCGATTGACGGTGGTTTCAATAAAATACCACTACGACGAAACGAGCAAAAAAATATTAGAAAGGTGGTCTCAATTATGTACCACCATGCCCTTTTGGCATTCTAACTCGTTGTCTGCCATAAATTCTATGTTATCAAGAGAATGAGGTAATTCATGAACGCTATCTAACCTTATTAAATCTGTCTTATGTTTATATTTTGGTATTTCTATCGAATTAAGAATTAAGTTTCGGTATTTTTAATTTTAAACTTCCTATTCCCAATGTTGGTATAAAATTTATATAATATTTAGATTTTATCTCCCTTGAAGGATTTAATACT